GAGGGAGGAAGGCAGGCACAGGAAGCTGGACAGGGAGCTCGGCTGAGGGGGACGTGTGGCGCTCTCTTCAGGAAAGCAGAGCTCAGCTCTTGCCCCCTCACACCCTTTGAAGATGATCACCTTGAAGATTAGGATGAAAAGCAAACCCTCGGCTCCTGCCCTGAGCCCTTGGCTGTCATGTCTCTCCCCAGGCAGGGAGCAGAAGAACATCGTTTCCACACTCATCTGTTTTCAGAACAGTTGAGCCATCATTCACTGGTCTCCACAGACAACAGATGCCAGGTGCTGGTGACTCCAAGGGTTGCAAATGTCCCAGCGTCAGATTCATATTCTTTTTTTTTTTGAGACGAAGTTTCACTCTTGTTACCACACACGCCAGGCTGGAGTGCAATGGCGTGATCTCGGCTCACCGCAAGCTCCGCCTCCTGGGTTCAGACAATTCTCCTGCCTCATCCTTCTGAGTAGCTGGGATTACAGGCACACACCACTGTGCCCAGCTAATTTTTGTATTGTTAGTAGAGATGGGATTTCACCATGTTGACCAGGATGGTCTCGATCTCTTGACCTCGTGATCCACCCGCCTCGGCCTCCCAAAGTGCTGGGATTACAGGCTTGAGCCACCACGCCCGGCCTCAGATTCATATTCTTTTCCTTGACCCCCTCTGTCCTGTGTGGATGAGGAGAGCTGGGCAGAACACCTGGGTGAGGTCTCAGGGATCCGGCGGTGCCCACTGCTGGGTCGGGCTGGCAGATGGGAAGGAGCCCACATGTGCTCTCTGTGGCCCGAGCCGTGAAGAGGAAGTGGCTCCCCAGGCTGTGGGTGACAACAGCGTGAACATAAAGTGCTATTTCTCCCCTGCTTTCATCCTCACACACCGTTGCCACGTCTGCACCAAAGCCCCTGCTTAAAACTTTGGAACGAGAAGGTAGCTTCTTGCACATTATGGACCTGGGGGTAGGAGTGAATTCGGGATTCCAGGACATCGCTTCAGAGGGCATCCTGACTCCCCCTCGGCCAGGTGAGACCCGGTACCACTGCCCCAGCGGCTGCCTGGGGACCAACCACCTGGTTGAGTGCCGGGGCAGCCAGCCTTGAAGTCCCGGATCAGAAAGGACACCAGATCCTTCTGCTGACATTGACAAAGGGCTCTGCCAAGAGGCTCAGCCCCGCCTGCGGGCTGGTCCCCATCCTTCCTCTTCGTCCCGGTGAGGCTGATGCAATGTCTGCACCCTGCGGCTGCCAGGCTCCTTCTGCGCGTGAGGACTGACCCCTGGTGGCCGACTCGGACATTGCAGGCCTGGTGCTTGGACTCAACTTCTGAGTCATGTTGCATCAGCCAACGTGCCTAAGGAAGCTGAATGACCCAGGCTTCCTGCCACCCTGCAGGCTGGTGGGGGAGGGGGTTGGCAGGTGTGGCGGGTGGGGTGAGGGGTCCGAGTCCCATGGTCTAGGACATTCATGTCTCCGAAGCTCTGTCTCTCCTCTGGTGGGACCATGTCTCAAAGAGACCCTTGCCTGGCTCCTGGAGCTGCCGGCCAGGTAGGAGCCCCAGGAAACTCATGGACCCCTTGTGGAAAGCTCAGACCGTCTCCTTGCAGGGGGAAAAAGGGCCAGTGATGCTAAGAGGAAACAGGCCGGGCGCGGTGGCTCACGCCTGTAATCCCAGCACTTTGGGAGGCTGAGGCAGGCGGACCACCTGAAGTCAGGAGTTCGAAACCATCCTGACCAACATGGTGAAAACCCACCTCTATCAAAAATACAAAAATTAGCTGGGCATGGTGGCGCGTGCCTGTAATCCCAGCTACTCAGGAGGCTGAGGCAGGAGAATTGCCTGAACCCAGGAGGCGGAGGTTGCGGTGAGCCGAGGTGGTGCCATTGCACTCCAGCCTCAGTGACAGAGCAAGACTCCATCTCAACAACAAGAAAAGAAGAAACGAAATGCTGGCCAGGCGTGGTGACTCACACCTGTGATCCCAGCACTTTGGGAGGCTGAGGCATGTGGGTCAGTTGAGTCCAGGAATTTGAGACCAGCCTGGGCAACATACATAATGAGACCCTGTCTCCATACAAAATAGTAAAAAACTAGCTGGGTGTAGTGGTACATGTCTGTTGTCCCAGCTACTTGGGACACTGAGGCAGGAAGATTGCTTAATCTCAGGAGACAGAGGTTCCAGTGAGCCAAGATCGCGCCACTGTACTCCAGCCTGGGAAACAGACCAAGACCCTGTTTTGAAAGAAAGAAAGAAAACAGACTGCCACTTTGAACATGCTATTACCGAGGAATGTATGTGACAGACCCGTTCAACTGGTCCCCATTTCTGACCCTTGACTCTTCCTGCCTGGGGCTGGGAGCCAAAGGTCAGAAATGGGGACCTGCTCAGGGGAGGGGGAGGATGCTCAGCTTACGGCGTCTCTGGTAATTTAGAAATGCAGCAAGTCGAGTCACCCAGATTTCCGACTTTCTCTCTTGCTGCTTTTTCTTTTTTCTTTTTTTTTTTTTTGAGACGGAGTTTTGCTCTTGTTACCCAGGCTGGAGTGCAATGGCGCAATCTCAGCTCACCGCAACCTCCGCCTCCTGGGTTCAGGCAATTCTCCTGCCTCAGCCTCCCGAGTAGCTGGGATTACAGGCACGAGCCACCATGCCCAGCTGATTTTTTGTATTTTTAGTAGAGACGGGGTTTCACCATGTTGACCAGGATGGTCTCGATCTCTAGACCTCGTGATCCACCCACCTCGGCCTCCCAAAGGCTTATTCTTTTATTATTATTAAACGGATGTTAATGTGCAAACGCTGTGTGCACCTGGGTAGAGCCAAGTGTTCATGGGTCGTGTGCTTGTTGTCCTCTGCCGGCCGGCTGGCCGGCTGCTGCCCTGGCCTGAAATAGCCACATCTCCACCAGGGTCCCCTGGATCACCAGGAAGACAGAGGAGCCAGGGCCACCCTCACGTCGTGCTGGCAACACATCCATGATCAGACTCTAAGGCAACTGGGAACCATATGTGCTCCCCGTGGGAGGCCACAGGTTTGCGTTGGTGTCCTGGCGAGTATGTCCCCTGACCCTACTTTCTGGAAGGCAGGGGTTGGCTTCTAGGCACCCACCCACTGTATCTCAGCACTGGCATCCCGGAGGTTCTGCTTTTGGAGAACTCATGGCTTACATGAAAAGATGCCCCCTCCGCGCCGGTGTGTGGCGGTGTCCGTGCTCTGGGTTTTGGCCACAGCGACACGTAGCCAGTGGCTTCTCATTACTCTTTGAGTTCACACATCCCCATTAGTGGTGCATGACACAGAGACATGTCCATGATTTATAGTCATCAGTCAACAATTTCCCAGTATCCAGGGAACATGTGAGGGGCTGGCGTGCAGGCATGGTTTGGCGGGGCCCCGCGTAGAGCCCCTGGCAGGAGACAGAGGAGCCGGAGGCCTCCACGACCTCTCAGCAATTTCACCTGCGCCTGGCTTTCACCCTGGTGAGTTTCCAGCAGCTGCAGCAGTCCCCTCTGCTTCACCCGAGCCTACAGCAAAAAAGAAAAAGAAAGAAAGACATGAATCAGAGTGAGAGCTGACAGCAAATTCTCTCTTTTTTTTTTGGAGACAGAGTTGAGCTCTTGTTGTCCAGGCTGCAGTGCAGTGGTGTGATCTCAGCTCACTGCACCCTCTGCCTCCCAGGTCCAAGTGATTCTCCTGCCTCAGCCTCCCGAGTAGCTGGGATTACAGGTGTCTGCCACCACTCCTGGCTAACTTTTATATTTTTAGAAGAGACGGGTTTTTGCCACGTTAACCAAGCTGATCTCGAACTCCTGTCCACCAGGGATCTGCCCGCCTTGGCCTCCAAAGTGCTGAGATTACAGGTGTGAGCTATTGCGACTGGCCCTGACAGCAGTTTTCTTCTTTTTTTCTTTTTTTTTTGAGACAGGGTCTCACTCTGTCACCAGGCTGGAATACAGTGCGATCTCTGCTCACTGCAACCTCCCCCTCCCAGGTTCAAGCAATTCTCTTGACTCACCTTTTTGAGTAGCTGGGACTATAGGCATGTGCCACCATGTCCAGCTAATTTTTTTGTATTTTTAGTAGCGATGGGTCTTCACCTTGTTGACCAGGATGATCTCCATCTCTTGATTGCCCGCCTCAGCCTCCCAAAGTGCTGGGATTACAGGTGTGAGCCACGGCGCTGGTGATAGCAAATTCTTTAAAAGTGTGTTAAAGCTCAGAGTGGCAGATTTGCAGTAGGTTGTCAAGGCCTGTGCAGTCCAGGTCCTGAGACACGAGCTGTGTCTGCTTCAGAACTGGGTTCTCTCCTCCCTTCAGCTATAAATCTACTCACCAGTCCTTGTGCCTCTGTGAGATCATTCTAAGTCTTCTCTTTTATCCCACTTGTGTTTTTTTAAAATATCAAATGCGTAAGGTTCTTAGTCTTTGGAAAAGTGATGATCTGTGTACAGCACATTATATTACTTAAATATTTGACCAGCCGGGTGCGGTGGTTCACGCCTGTAATCCTAGCACTTTGGGAGGTCAAGGTGGGTGGATCGCCTGAGGTCAGGAGTTCAAGACTGGCCTGGCCAACATGGTGAAACCTCATCTTTAAAAAAATAATAAATAAATAAAATAAAACATTTGACCAACAGAAACATTCCCCTGCTCTGACCATGCTGGATAAACGTTTTCTGCACCCTGTTATGAGTCGTTGGGGCCGTTATTCATTCACTGTTTTTTTGTTTTTTGTTTTGAGACAGAGTCTCACTCTGTCGCCCAGGCTGGAGTATAGTGGCATGATCTCGGCTTACTGCACCCTTCATTTCCCGGGTTCAGGTGCTTCTCCGGTCTCAGCCTCCCGAGTAGCTGGAACTGTGGGCCTGCGCCACCACACCCGGCTAATTTTTGTATTTTTAGTAGAGACGGGGTTGTACCATGTTGGCCAGGCTGTTCTCGAACCCTTGACCTTGTGATCTGCCCACCTCGGCCTCCCAAAGTGCTGGGATTACAGGCGTGAGCCACCGCTCGCACCCTGAACATCTGGCTTCTTTTTTTTTTTTTTTTTTGTTAGAACAACTCAGCAAAATAAAATTTCTGTTTATTGTTGGACACATTGTTTCACACAGACATCAAACAGGCCAAAAAAAATAAACAGCAACTTCATAGACAAAAAAGGAAACCTTTTAATCTTTGGCCTTTTAACCATCTCATACAGACCAACTACTTCTAGTCCAGCCAAGTACACACACAACCAAGGGACTGGAATGCTCGGAATACGATTGTTTTTCTGTTGTCGTTTTCGCTTTTTTTTTACAAGGTTTTTTTTCTCCTTTGAGATTATAATGAACATGGTCGCACCACAATAAAGTAGGAAGTAGGACAGAGAACGCTCCCAAGGCTGGTTTGGTCATCCGAGATCATTAAAAATGGCTGACCCTAACAATATGTACAAAAATATAAAATGTAAATAAAAAATACAAACAAATTTCCTTTTTAAAGTACTTTTAAGAAAAAAAGCAGGGCCTTGGAAGTTTTGGTTCTTTTTTCCTCCCCTGTTGCCAATTCTCATGGTTCGGGTTGGGTAGTGGAGAGCGCGTCGTTCGTCTGCGGGTGGCACTGCCCTCGGTGGGCGGGCGGGCCTTTCTGCTCGAAGGTGACCACGTTTAGATTCTGAGACGGGAAGTGGAGGGTGAATGGGTCACGGCGGCCTTTTTTTTGTGTGTTTTAGTTTAACTTTCCCTTTTTTGCTGTCTAATCATCCTCGTCGTCGGTCTTCTGCTTCTTGGTATCGACATCATCATCCTCATCATCTTCAGCTGCCCGCTTGCCCGTAGAAGACTCAGCTTCCTCATCTTCATCTCCATCCTCCTCCTCACCATCACCTTCTTCTTCCTCCTCCTCTTCCTCCCCACCTTCTTCCTCTACTTCATCTACCTCGTTGTCAGCCCCCTGCTCCCCATTGTCCTCATTCCCATTCCCATTAGCAGGGGCGTCTCTTCCATTTTCCGCCTCTTCCACAACTTCCTTCTTCTCCTTCAAGTCCTTGGCGGTGATTTCGGAGCTGGTGTCTACCGCTGCGTCTGACATGGTGGGGCCGGCCGGTGATCCGAGGCGGGGGATTAAAAAGAAAGCGAGATTTCAAGGACTCTGGCGATAAAGCTGCCGGAGTCTGCGAGGGCGAAGGAGACGCGTGGTGGAGGCGGCTGCGGTGAGCAAGGAGTCGGACGAGGAACAATGCAAAGATGGCTCTTCAGAGCAGCCAGTCCATCTGGCTCCTTAAGCCCAGGAACGAGCTGTTTTCCAGCCCGATAATCCCATAGTCAACAATGTATGCTTAGGGTTCATGGTGGCAGGCCCTGAAATTCTGGCTGCCTGGCCATGGAAACAGATCACACTGAAACCTCCCTAATTCTAAAGAAGAAGGGCTTTTTTTCCTCACCGTTCCCCCACAGACTGTCATCACAAACTGTCTGCAGAAGGCCAGATGCTTACACTTCACAGAAATGTGGTCCTGAAACCTTCGTTCTGACTGCCCCGGTAACCACATCCTCCTGTTCTTGGCAACACTAGTGAAATGCATTAGCACAGAGCAGGTGACATGCAGCAGACACATCTACGCTAGAATCTGAGGGGTGCTTGGCCGAGCACGGTGGCTCACGCCTGTAATCCCAGCACTTTGGGAGGCCGAGGCAGGTGGATCACAAGGCCAAGAGATAGAGACCATCCTGGTCAACATGGTGAAACCCTGTCTCTACTAAAAATACAAAAAATTAGCTGGGCATGGTGGCGCGTGCCTGTAATCCCAGCTACTCGGGAGGCTGAGGCGGGAGAATTGCCTGAACCCAGGAGGCGGAGGTTGCAGTGAGCCGAGATTGCGCCATTGCACAGCAGACTGGGTAATAAGAGCGAAACTTCGTCTTAAAAAAAAAAAGAATCTGAGGGTTGCTATGTTTTTGTTTTTGTTTTTTTGAGATGGAGTCTCACTCTGTCTCCCAGGCTGGAGTACAACGGTGTGATTCTCAGTTCACTGCAACCTCTGCCCCTGGGGTTCAAGCAATTCTCCTCCTGCAGCCTCCTGAATAGCTGGGATTACAGATGGCTGCCACCATGCCTGGCTCATTTTTGTGTTTTCAGTAGAGACAGGGTTTCACCGTCTTGTCCAGGCTGGACTTGAACTCCTGACCTTGTGATCCACCCACCGCGGCCTCCCAAAGTGCTGGGATTACAGGCGTGAGCCGCTGTCCCCAGTCCAGAGTTGCTGTGTTGGAAGAAGCACACCCAAGCTTATACTAGGAATCTTGGCTGGAGAATTGGTTCACTGATGTCCATTATTTCAAAGACACACCAGAAAAAAACATTCCTATCGTCGGATTTCCAATAAGTCAGGATGTTCCCACTCACAACATTTCCTCTATGGTACTAACACTACTGTAGAAACTCAGTGCATTGTGACAATTCACGTGCTGAGCATCTCTTGCAGGTTTTTAATTTCACTCTGCCCTGAAAAATACTAAAAATTAGCTGGGTGTGGTGGTAGGTGTCTATAATCCCAGCTACTCAGGAGGCTGAGACAGGGAGAACCGTTTGAACCTGGGAGGCAGAGGTTGCATCCAGCCTGGATGACAGAGCAAGAGTCCATCTAAAAAAAATATAAAAACAAGAAGCCAGATGCTCAAAACATTGGTATTACAGGATTAAAAAAATCTACTTTGAGAATCATCCGTGTCTTGAATTATTTGGTCAAGAAGCTTTACTTTTTCAAAAACATGGCCAGGCGCAGTGGCTCACGCCTGTAATCCCAGCACTTTGGGAGGCCGAGGCAGGTGGATCACGAGGTCAAGAGATTGAGACCATCCGGTCAACGTGGTGAAACCCCATCTTTACTAAAAATACAAAAATTAGCTGGGCATGGTGGCGCGTGCCTGTAATCCCAGCTACTCGGGAGGCTGAGGCAGGAGAATTGCCTGAACCCAGGAGGCGGAGGTTGCGGTGAGCCGAGATTGCGCCATTGCACTCCAGCCTGTGTAACAAGAGCGAAACTCCATCTCAAAAAAAAAAAAAAAAAAAAAAAACCACAACAACAACAAAAAACACAAAAACACACTTAGCAACAGGTTTGTGTGGCTTTGATCCTGGTATTCCCTCTGTCGGGCATCTCTGATTACTGCAAGCAGGAAAGGGAGGCTTTGGCTGTGTTTGGGGAGGGTTAGGGCACACACCCCCTGGGAGACAGGTGTGAACCTGCCGTCTCACGCAGGGAGCATGTTGGGTCCGTGGCTTCCTCACAACCAATCCCTGGCTCCCTGTTGTTGATAGGACATTAAAAGCTGCTTCTGAGTCTGTAATTAGCATTTCCAGCTTAACTTCTATCTTCTGTTCCGTTTTCTGTGCTGTTTTCTAGGTTTGGGTAGTTTCTCCTGCCCTGTCTTTGCATCTGATATCTTACGGAATGTCCTTGATCTTCATGCGCTGCTTCTGAGATCAGTGGGAAGGAGGCCGTGTGCACCACACTGAGGTGAGCAACTCTGCAGCGTGGAGCTTTACTCAGACTGGCCAGCAGGAAACACCCCCGCATGTGAGAGTGGCGGTGTGCAGCAGAGAGGTCTACAGGTGACTTGGAGATTTCCTTCATTATACTCATCTGCATTTTCCACATTTTGAAAATGACTGTGTATTAATTATACACTAAAAAAACATCATTTATGACCGTAATCGCGGCACTTTGGGAGGCCAAGGCAGGCGGATCACTTGAGGTCAGGAGTTTGAGACCACCCTGGCCAACATGGTGAAACCCCATCTCTACTGAAAATACAAAAAAATTAGCCAGGCGTGGCAGCAGGCACCTGTAATCCCAGCTATTCTGGAGGCTGAGGCAGGAGAATCACTTGGACCTGGGAGACAAAGGTTGCAGTGTGCCGATATTGTGCCTCTGCACTTCAGCCTGGGCGACAGAGTGAGACCCACTAAAAAATAATAAATAAATAAAATAAAATAACATTAATATTTAGATTCATGATTTTATTTTTATTTTTTTAAAAAGAAAAATAACGGGGTTTCCCCATGTTGGTCAGGCTGGTCTTGAACTCCCGACCTCAGGTGATCCGCCTGCCTTAGCCTCCAAAGTGCTTGGATTACAGGCATGAGCCACCGCACCCAGCCAATATTTAGATTCATGTTAGTGAAACTGCAGAATAGATAAAATCGTAAAGCAGTTAGGGAAAGAAATTTCTTTCCTGAAAGATCTCTGGAAAATATCCAGATAACTGGAAGCTAAAAAACACACTTCTAAGTAACCATGGGCCTAAGAAGAAATTGAAAGGAAATTTAGGGAGTATTTTGAACTGAATGAAAATCAAAACGCAACATATCACAACCTGTGGGATGCAGCAAAAGCAGTATTTAGAGGTAAATTGATAACACTAAGCATTTAAAGGTCTGAAATCAATGACCTCAGCTGCTGCTGCTTCTTTTTTTTTTTTTTTTGAGACGGAGTTTCGCCCTTGTTACCCAGACTGGAGTGCAATGGCGTGATCTCGGCTCACCGCAACCTCTGCCTCCTGGGATCAGACAATTCTCCTGCCTCAGCCTCCTGAGTAGCTGGGATTATAGGCACGCACCACCATGCCCAGCTAATTTTTGTATTTTTAGTAGAGACGGGGTTTCACCATGTTGACCAGGATAGTCTCGATCTCTTGATCTTGTGATCCACCTGCCTCAACCTCCCAAAGTGCTGGAATTACAGGCTTGGGCCACTGCGCCTGGCCCCTGACCTCAGCTTCTAAGTTAAAAAACTAGAAATAGGCAGGGTGCAGTATTTCATGCCTATAATCCCAGCAGTTTGAGTGGCCAAGGGGGGAAAGTCACTTGCGATCAGGAGTTTGAGACCAGCCTGACCAACATGGTGAAACCCCATCTCTACTAAAAATACAAAAATTACCTGGTGTGGTGATGCGTACCTGTAATCCCAGCTACTCAGGAGGTGCAGGTTGCCAAGATCGTGCCACTGCACTGCAGACTGGGTGACAGAGTGAGACTTGTGTTTCAAAAAAAAGGGAAGGAAAGGCCGGGTGCGGTGGCTTACACCTGTAATCCCAGCACTTGGTGAGGCCAAGGCAGGTGGATCGCCTGAGGTCAGGGAGTTCAAGACCAGCCTGATCAACATGGAGAGACCCTGTCTCTACCAAAAATGTATAATTAGCCAGGCATGGTGGTGCGTGCCTGTCATCCCAGCTACTTGGGAGGCTGAGGTAGGAGAATCAATTGAACCCGGGAGGTGGAGGTTGCAGTGAGCCAAGATGGCGCCACTGCACTCCAGCCTGGGCAACGAGAGTGAAACTCTGTCTCAAAAAAAAAAAAAAGAAGGAAAACAAAAAAGAAAACAAAAGAATAATAGAGAAAAATTAGTAAAATAAACATTTGGATTCTTTGAGAACATCAATAATGCTGAGTTGATAATCCTCTAACTTGGCCCAGGCTGATCAAGAAAAAAAAAAACAAGAGAAAGAGAAGGGACAAATTACCAACATGAGGAGTGAGAGTGACATCACTGTACATGTACAGATGGGAAAAGGTTAATAAGGGACAATTACGACAGTTTTTTGCCAATAAATTCAACACATAATTTATAAAATGGACAAATTCCTAAAAATAGACAAACTGTTGGCCAGGTGTGGTGACTCACGCCTGTAATCCCAGCTCTTTGGGAGGCCGAGGTGGGTGGATCGTGAGGTCAGGAGTTCAAGACCAGCTGGCTAAAAATACAAAAATTAGCCAGGCGTGGTGGTGGGTGCCTGTAATCCCAGCTATTCGGGAGGCTGTGGCAGAGAATTGCTTGAACCTGGGAGGCAGAGGTTGCAGTGAGCCAATATTGCACCACTGAATAACAAACAAGACTGGGCAACAGAGCGAGACTACATCTCAAAAAATAAAAATAAAAAAAAAAACAGACAAACGATTAAAGCTCACTCAAGGAGAAGTAAATAAGCTACATAGCCCTGTATCTATTAAAGAAATTGAATATGTAGTTAGAAAACTTCCCACAAAGGAAACTCTGGGCCAAGCTGGCATCACTGGTGAGTTCTACCCATCATTTCAGCAAGAAACACTCTCAATTCTATACCAAGTCTTCCAGAAAATTGAAGAGGAGGGAGTATTTCCTAGCTTATTCTATGAGAAAAGTATTCATTGGAAACCAAACTGGGACAAGATATTCAGAGAAAAGAAAACTACAGACTAATATGATCCTTCTCAAATATAGATGCCAAATTTCTTAACCAAATTTTAGCAAACCAAATATATATTTTTTTCTTTTTTGAGACTGAGTCTCAATCTGCCACACCAGGCTGGAGTGCAGTGGTGTGATCTCAGCTCACTGCAATCTCCCCATCCCAGGTTCAAGCAATTTCCCTGCCTCAGCCCAAGTAGCTGGGACTACAGGCGCATGCCACCAAACCGGGCTAATTTTTGCATTTTTGATAGAAACGGGGTTTTGCCATGTTGGACAGGCTGGTCTCAAACTCCTGACCTCGTGATCCACCATCCTTAGCCTCTCAAAGTGTTGGGATTACAGGAGTGAGCCATGGCACCTGGCCAGCCCTGGGGATTTTTTAGGCCATGTACCCTAGGGGGCAGGAATCTTGGGGGACAACTTAGAATTTGCCTACCACAGAGATTGAATGCTTCTCTCCTAAGACTGGGAACAAGGGTTGGG